TTAACAATTCATATTTAAAAAATATATTAAGAATAAATGAAAAGGGTTACCATACACATTCAATTCTAATTTTCTCATTTTTACTATCGTCTGAACCCCATTCTATTGTTGACATATAACAAATAATCAAATCATTTCACTTTATTTGTTACATCAAAATCACATTAGTGTAAAGACAATAACACTATATTTGGACCTCCTGTCCCATGATTACAATATTCATAATATTCTCCAATTTACCGATAAAGCATGTTAATCTACTAGTATCAATAGTGTCAATAAACAAAGGCAAACTTTTGTTGCGTATGCTATTTTCTTATGGAATTTAAAAAACAATTTAATTTAAATTTATTGATTCTCCGTGGCTAGAGAAACTTGTTTTGTGTGCACACAAAGCAAATTTATTAAAAACGTCAACTGCTTTATGGGATAGTAAGGTACGTTTTCTGTTCCACGTAAAAATATAATACCGCACTCGTCACTGCTACAAATAATTTATTTCCTTAAATCTAGTTCTAGATAAACCAGACGCAGTACTTAAGTAGTATTTTATTTGTTGACTTACTGAACAAGTAGGTAATATTTGAAGATTGACATGAGCACCGAAGTGATTGACAATTGTTGGAACGTGACATCGTTGGCAACTGCCGACCTAGCATCAAATTTCTAATGGTATAATCTACTTTCAGAGAAAACCTACACCCAGCGGCATAGACATGTTCTCAGATTGTATTTAGTAGAACACAACATCTAACTTTTAGTGGAGGTACTGTAATCGGATAAAAGTGAGTTTTAGTGACATAAAAAGTAAAAAAATAAGGAGACATCCATAAGATACTTGATCGTCAGCTACAGTCTCTGCTTTTTATTTTTAAAAACTAGCACTTGTATGGATATGAAGTACAATGTAGTTGAAATTTTAAATATTATTTTTGACACACTAAACACTAGAGTCAAGCTCACTTTTATGGGAAAGGAAGTATTCTACGACACAATAAACTGTTACTTTTTAGATTATTTAAGACAAATTTGATTATGCTGAGTTTATGTGACAAAAAACATGAGAAAGTTAAGATCAAATTGAAATGCAAATTGTTACATAGCAACAGAATCTACCACTCTTCTGGCTTTTAACTCTAATACCAAACGATGAGAAACAACATTTTCAAAAGTGAAATTACCTAAAGCAGAAAAAATGTCACAACCTTTTTCTATTTTTGTAATTAAAAATTGTTAAAACAAATAACGTGACCTTTATGTTATAAATGGATCATTTATAATAAAAATTATTTAACATTTATTATAAAACATCCACAAAAAAAAAACGAAAAACTCAACTGCGTAATTATTGTATGTTCACCGATATGATGTACTGTATTTTAAAGCCAAAAATAAAACAATAAATTTCCATCTGTGCAACTGATATATTCGCACACCTTTCTGGGTCATAAATGGAATTCAAGTTGCTAACTAAACTTTTTGCTAAGTGAAAATCTTCAAGCTCCAGACGACGAAAAAATTGTTTTAGCCAGCTTAAATGTCTGAGGAAGTTATCTAAAAGTGGACCAATAAACCATAATAAGACGTCCAAGTTTTTGTTCCAATTGAGTGGTTATTAGAAAGTAGGGATTTAGTTTCCATTTTCGGAGCAAACACTCGAAGACAATTCACCACCGTGAAACTGTAATAAACTGTTTTATAGTCGCGCTGAAAGCAGAAATTCAAGTTTGTTTCAGATTAAATATAAATAATCAGCTTTAATTGAATGCATCTCGAAAATGGTGTATGAAAAGCTAAATGCAAATCTCGTTAGGAATAATTCGGGAATTTGTCGCGCTGAAATTGAGTTTGTAGATCTGTCAGTTGCACCCCCTTGAGTGAAATTATATCTAAGCCATTCAACGCAAATATTGACGTTTAAGTGATATGGGTAAGATTTTTGATAAATTTCGCGACGTCAGTATGGTACAATAGATAGAAACTAACAGAAAAATGTGTGGCTAAGCCACAGGCTCAATTTTAATCTAATTCTTACTCTGGTAGGTTCTATTTATCAATTTAGATGAATTAATGTTTCAACATTATTTTTTCCTTTCTTGAATTATAATAATTTATAAGTTTAAGAGGAAAAGAAAACACGAAAAGAGTGTATTATTGTCCTACTTTACTTCCAAAACAGCTTTAATATGCATGAAACTAACATCTGTATGTTGAAATTACGAAATATTAAGGGTAATTCATCTTTTGTTACAACTGAAAAAATCAGATCGAATTTTTTCTTCCTTCCTAATGGAGAAACTTGTTTAGAAAATCATTGTACTCTTGTCAATATAGGTGAACTTCAAAGGCAAATTTCACACTTTCATTATATATCAAAGCCTTTGCGTCCGCAAAAGTAATAACGGCACCACTCACTACATTTTGAAATAAGAAAAAAATCTAATTAATGAGAGACAATATCATAAACCAAAATATATGACTTTATTTTTATTAAAAAATTGTATTAATGCATTAATATTGTCAATCCTTTTTATTTAAAATGTGTGCTCTCTTTACCTTTTGCAAAAATTCATTAGCTGGAGAAACTTCAAAAAATGTTTCAAAATCATTTCAGTAAAGCTACAGAGAAAGAAGAAGACGGATACTTGAAAGTAAAATTTAAAAATTTATTGTAAGTACTAAGTATTAACCGGTAAAAAGCAGTCACACATTATTGTCAGCTATCAGGTATACCAACAATGTCAGCTTCCAGAAATCACCTTCTAGATTGAGTGAGTCGGTTACATTATCAACTCCTTTACGGCATCGTTATTATGTCTGACTGTCCTATATGACTTACATTATTTCTGTAATAATGCTAAAAATTATGCAAACATATGTGATACAATTACATCAACTATAATTCAATCTTAAACACACAATTTTTTCTCTGTGACCGTCAATTAATCTGTTCGAAGAAAAAAATTGTTACAAAAAAAAATAAGTGATATAAATTTATCAGTTAATGCAGGGAGGTTTCTTTTTATCCTGTTTCAGTGAAGAACCATCGGATGTTTATGGTACACCTGTATATGTAGAAAATAATATATGACCAATGTTCATGTCATTATCTCTGCAAATGATATTACATTTCCGGAATTTCCAGGAAAGCTGGTTAAACATGTTATGCATATAAATAACAGTAATAATAGACGAAGAATAGATCCGGAAGGCACAGCATACGTTGCTATAACTTCCTTGGATGTCTAGCCGCTACATAGTGCGCGATTTATCTCCTATCGGGAAAATCACTGTAAACTAATTAAGAGAGCGGTTTCCAAAGGCTGTACCATATTATTTAAATTATCTGTTAGCATGTCAAATAAACCATAATCTTTAACTAGTTTACAACTTCTACAAATATGCAGACGATATCACAAACAAAAATGTTTTAAATCCCCAAATTCTGTTCATACCTTAACAATAATATTATATATATAGGTCGACGGTAATGCTAAACACTAACTAAAGACGATGTGGTATATGTATTAGATAATTGTTTCTTAACAAGCCATTACGAACAACTCGGATAAAATCGTACTAAGTGTTCATACTTCAGAGTGGAGAACCCATTTCAGAATAGAGAAATCTATTAACTTGCTTTAGTAAAGTACCTTTGTACATTTATACATTAAAAGGGTCACTCTCCAGTTGGAATTAATAACGGAGAACAAATTAACTTGTATTTTAATGGAATCATCCACAAAATTTCTTGACAAATAAATTCCCGTCCTTCATTTTCAATGAACTTTTAAATCCTTCCCCATTTTCTCAGGTGAGAGGTAAATAAAATATATGTGATAGCGCAAAGTGCTATTGCCCACCTAACAAAAGCACAAATAATCAAAAACAGTTGCTACAATAAATTGTTTCTGTAATTTGTCATTTTATTGAGTAATGGGCATGTAGTTACAATTTAATTGTGCAGTACATTATTGTTATTGTCTTTTGGTATTTCAACAAGTTGAATGTTTGAATATACCATGATTTACTGAAGACAGAGATTGCTTTTATAACAGCATTTATTTCAAATTTCCGGAAGAAGTTGGCTCCTTCTCAATAATGAAATTTCCAAAACTTGGACGAACGTCAAATTACTGAGCTTTAATATGTGTATATAATCCCCCTCACTCATGGAAATGTATCCGCCAAATGCAATACAGCGATTGTAAGTCTCCAAAACTGAAAAGCACAGAAACAATATAGGTACAAAGTGACAGAGGATGTCACACAAACTTCCATAAGCTGCCAAGTTATATACACATTTTTACAAAATAACGCTTACATATCATCATGTCACAGAATCGCAAAGACGCTCGAGGAATGTTGCGTCACCATTACCTAAACCTAAAGATAAAATAAGAAGTATGCGGTCAAGCTTTAAAAAATGTTTGCTTGACGTAGAGTCGATTAAAAGTTCCCCATAATGTACAAGTTTATTACAGGCAGAATCCAGATGATAAATCGATTTGGGTGCTTTTTTGCCTTATCCCTTATGATTTATCTGTTGGTTTTTATTCGAATCTGCCGCAGCAGAAGTCGTGGCTATTTATCAATTTCTGCAGAGACCCACCGAATTCACTCGAAAGCGGAGTAGGTACTTGTTGTTTCATGCAATCAATATTTTGATGACAGCCTATTGGAAGTGCTAATTACGGTCATATTTCGCAAACTTGGATGAGAAAACAAGTAGATTTATGGTAAAAAGTCACGCGACTATGTCACTCAAGGATTAAATGAAATGCAGTCTATTTAATTAAAAGGAGACGTACGCCCCCATCACCCCTAAACACAGGTTGTAAAGTGCCTACATTGATCTGATGGTGATGACCCTTTGTCATGTTTATTACCCTCCCTTCCGATTTGTGTTCAGCTCGATAACCATTGGAACGGTAGAGTGTAAGCGATAAAAATAACTCGTATGTGAAATTTAACTACTATAATGTTTTAATTAAACTTACCAGAACGTAGACAGCGAAGGGCATTACGACAACTGCCACAAGAAGGTCGGCCAAAGCTAAGCTGACAATAAAGTAGTTAGTAGCGGATTGCAGAGTTCGCTCCCTGTACACACTGAGTATCACAAGAACGTTGCCGAACAGCGTGAAAATTGGGAAGAGGACTAGTACCAAAGCCCAATAGTTGCGATGGGAGTAGGACTCTGGTAGGTGGGCGAAGCACGAAGTGTTAGTGTTGTTGAAACTGCAATTTACAAATTGCCTGTCGTAACTGGTGTAATCCGTATCGTTGGACAAATTGAGATGATTGAAGTACTGGTCGATGTCTTCGAAGAGTAGCATAAAATGTTCAGCAGACTGGTTGACATTAAGAAGACTCGAGTCCGTCGAATTTTTGGTGGAATTGTTGAAAATGGAAGCATTCGCAGCATCCATTTTTTCAGGGATCATGTTTACAATGGAATTGTATGCGGTCAATTTCAGAGCATCTCGTTATTTATTACCCACAAAGGCTTCGTTATCCTTCAAGCATCCAAAGGGCATTGTCAGACGTCTAGCACAATCAGCTTCTTCCGTCTGTTTTTGACCGCCTTCACCCGGAAACTATCTCTCTTTCTCCTTGGGTAATTCTCGATTTTACAACTCAAATAATATCCCTTCACAGTGCCGTCATCCCGAAAATTAATTACCTCCCTCGGCCGAAATTCGGCATTATTAATTACAGTCCCGTCACTTCGCGGTTTGACGTAGAGCAGTTCTTCGTGCACACGGTTTACATGTCGGTTGCACCTTTTAAGCCGAGTCGCGCTCGTTAGACACAGTCGCGTGCACTCCGGGGCACAAACAGAGGCGCTATGCGCCGGGACGCCGACGACGGTAACGCGCCACGCGCCACGCGCACGGCGCCGCCCTGTCTCCCGTTCTCTCCGGCAGAGGCGTCCTCTTACACGTATCTTCGCGGGCTCTTGATTTGACCATTGACGTACTTGTTGAAATCTAACGAGACGACATTCAGCGCCCATCCGACAAATTAAGGCGGTTTAGCGGCAATCGAACGCACCCTGCATCTGCAGAATTTACTCACAAATCTAACTGAAATCACTCAATATTCGCTAGTTTAGATTTATTTTGACCTTCTACGTCAAATGGAAAAGTAAGGACTATAATTCGTTGATTGACGTTATTTTCCATTTCTACTTCTTGGACGGCCGGCAGCTATTGACAAAAGCGTCTTCCTTCTGTATGTGGTTTGTTTATATATGTTCTGTATTCGCGCACAGTTTGCTGAAAATTTATTAAAGAGAGATCATCTCCAACACTATTTGAAGCGATTAATTCAAAAGAAACACAAAAATAGTAAATTACTAACAATTACCTTACATATTTATTTATTCGCACTCTTTAACCGACTGTTAAGGTGAACAGCAATTCGCTGTAATTTTTAATTATACTACTTATATCCGACAATGTTATGTATAAATCATAATACGTTAATGATTCGTGCAAAAATACTATAAAACTATAAACATTCGAGATATAGTATCTATCTTTGTCTAAACTGTAGTATGCTACTGTGGTGCCTAATTTTGTATATTTTTTTTCCATTTGATTTATTTATTTTTCTACAGGTTATGGCACCCAATTACAGAAAAATACATATAAAAAGAAAAAATCACAACAAAGTCAAAAAAATCAGTAGTAAAAGTAGAATGTAAGTTCATATTAACATTCAAAATATGGAAAAAAAAATGTCCAAAGAAGATGCTTGAAATTTTAGCTACAGATTCTTCACAGAAAACGTATCATCCTTATCTAATCTACTCGTCAATACTAATACATGTACTCCTACGAATGAAAGTGTGAAAAAAATTATTATTCCCAGAACAAAATGGAAAATTTTCGAAATTCACCAATTTATAAATCAAATAATATCTATCCCTTTTTTGCAAATAGAAAGATATACAAAATTACTAGTGCCTAACTAATCTTCAGAGTAACTACGAATGGTGCAAAAAATCGCAAGTCTTGGGTTCCTCAGCCTGAAATAAACTACCCAAACATTTACACTGATAATAATCGTTTATCAGTTTTAAGTGAACTTTTTCAAACAAAACAGTTGAAATTAAAAACATAAACACCCAGGGGCGCAGCAGTCCTCATAGCTTTTCGGAGATCCATAAAATTATTGAGGTGCATCCAGAGACAGATGATTTTGACGTTTTCAAATTCAATACAATAGAAAACACACTTCAGTAAGAAACTCAAATTAGTCTAAAAAGACTCAAAATACAAAGAAAAGAGCACTATCTAGACAAGAAAATTTCGTAATTGACACGGGCCAGATTATTGGTACCAGAGCACAGATGAATAGTTTAGAAGCGACACCTACTCGTAAAACTTCATTTATGTTTCTCGCTTATCTCCGGAAACCACCACTAAACAACTCATTAACTTTTTAAATAAGGATTTTCCCGAAGTTCAATATGTAAAAATAAATTACAAACACCCGGAATTTTACTCATCATATCCAATAATTGTTGACTTCGTCAACAAAGACAGAACAATGGAGGCAAATAGATGGCCACAAGGAGCATATTTAGCTCGTTTTTTCAAAGAACAGCATCCATAAAAGAGGAAATAAAATAATAGGTTATAAATAATGTTAATACTACTTACTATTACTAGCAGTAACAATTATTGTAATGTGTATGCATAAATGAACATTGGCTTACTTCAGATTAAGATTTCAGAAATTTGTATCGTCGTGAACTAGTCAACATAAAAGAGAATGTAATGATAGTGTTATAAAACAAGCATCTAACAAATAAAAATCAATGTGGAACATAATAAACAGAAATAAAAGAGAGATAAAAAATTCCAGACAGGCTGAGTGCTTCAGATTTTAACTATTACTTTACTACCATTCCGAGAATTTAATAAAATCTCTTCACAAAAATACTAAAACAGATTCTGAAGTGTCACAATTCACAGTATCCGATAATTGTCATTTTAAGTTTCAGACTGTTTCTTTAATTGATGTGAGAACAGCTGTAAATTCTTTGAGCTACTCTAAAACAAATACATTTCTGATATAAATTCAATTATAATAAAAACATTATAATCTTATTATCATTCCTCTGACTAGTATTTTTAATAAATGTATAGTTGACAATGCTTTTCCTTAAATTTTCAAAATTTCAAAAATACTTCCGATTTACAAAAACTTGATGTTAACAATATGAATAATTATAGATCAGTTTTCTTCATTCCTACATTGAGTGAAGTTTTTGAATATTTATTAAAAAACCAGGTAAACGATTATGTCGAGAAAAATACATTTTATTCTGAATTTCAATTTGATTTCACTTACATTGGTTGCAGTTGCTGTAAACAGTATCAATGAATATGTGTTTCAGGCATTTGAAAACAAACAACCAAGGCATTTGACTGCATCATACAGGAAATGGTGCTGGAAAAATTAACTTATTATGTATTTGAGAGAAACAGTACAGTACCGAAAGACAACAATAATTTGTAAATATCGCCTATACTACCCGTATCTTATGGGGTTGCACAAAGCTCTGTATAGGCCCGCTGTTATTCTTATTGTGTATTAATGATTTACCGCAACCAACACCTTCTAACAAAATCGCTCGTTTTGCTGATGACACGACTGTGCATACGGCAGAGTCTAGTTTAAATCGATTGAAATCGGATTCCTCTGAAAGAGAGTATAGTATTTAAAATTGGTTCACTGAAAATGTACTTGTTCTTAATCAAAATAAAACCCAAAATATTACTTTTTCATTAAGAGAACTAGAAGTAAGAAACTTCTAGTTCTCTTAAGTTGCTTGGGATCTTCTTTGATACAAAACTGAGTTAAAAAGAACATGATATTTATGTAACAAAAAAAACTCTCAAAAAATATGTATGGCATAAGACAAGTATACTATGAAATTAATATTAAATTTCTCTTGAATTCCCATTTCGCTTTTATTCAAAGCCACATCTCGTATACCCACAAAAAAAAATTAAACATAAAAGAAATTGTATACGTATTATAGGTGGACTAAGATATCGAGATGATCGCAAGCAACTTTCGTAAAATTTAGAATTTTAACCGCTCCTTATGTAATTTATGAATGTATACTATACCTACATATATTCACGCTAATACAAAATCATAAAGATTCCCACTCCATCAGATCTCGTCATTTGCTCAAAACAGAATTTTTAAGACTAAATAAAACTAGAAATAGTACTCGCTATTACTGGGTCAAATTTTCCAATCGTCTTTCTTATTGAAAATATTACAAGTAATCACAAGTAAAAATTCATCATATTTTGCATATTTTTTGTAGAATTTATGCAAAATTTTGAGATAACGTCATCAATTTTTTGGGGGAATAAACAGATTTATTTTGATTAACAATTTACCATGCTTACGATGATTTTCAAACGTCCGCAAGATTTCAAAGCATTCAGTTTGGCAATTCTTGATTTATTCAATAAAATAAACTGACTGATTTATTAGTTTTTTTGAGTCACTCTGTATAAGCAAATCTAAAAAAAATATGAATGGAATAATATTTTTCAAGTATTAAACAAAATTTTGAGATATAATCAAATTTTTGCGGTTGATAAACAGATACACTTTGATTAAAAAGTTACCATGCTTACAAAACTTCAAAACAGTTTTAGTTAGGAAAAAAGGAAAGCAAAGACAATAATTATTATTGATTAACAATAAAAATGTGTTGAGATACTACAGCGAAAATAATCTTTCTAAGGTGATAATTTTTCCAAGAGAAAACGATAATTAACATCACCAGAAACGGTTCTTGCGAAAAAACAACAAAGTAACTTCATAAAAATTGTCATCTGCGACATACAACATTTGTATTAAAAACTAGTGATGTCAAAGTTTTATTAGATTATGATACTCTTTAATATTCGATGATCTGAGATGTAATACTCTCATTATAGTTTTTAAATGACTTCACGTCAAACTTTTTCCCTCTATGTGTTACAAGTTTGGATGAGATAAAGAATTACTAAATTTTCTCAATGTTTTATCGTAAATAAGTTTTTCAGTTTAGCTAAAAGCGTGCATCACCTTTGTGCGAAAAGTATGTTTTTATTCTGATCCAGGTGGAAAAGCTCATTTAAATTTGCGTAAGTTTAAGCACCAAATATTTTTTAACGAACTTATGTAAAAAAGAATAAGGCTAAATATTAAATATTTTAACATGAATTATTATTTTCCTTGTACATTTTAAGAAAGGGGATTTGGTCTTGACGTTTACGCAAATAAAATGAGAAAATGTGTACAATTTTAATATAAAATGATTGATGACAGCTGGACACATCGTCGCAACGTAGTCATATACAAAATGAAAATAGAGCTTTATGTGGTTCATTTATGTATGATAATCTTGTATCTAGTGAATTTTGCAAAACAAAATCCATATCATATCGTAGATCTTTACACCTTTCTGTCTATAAGGTTTAGGATCAACGAAAAAGCGTTTATTTTTTTTTTTATTTGATTTACTAACAAATATGCTCACATCACTATCGACGAAACATTTATAATTACATTAAATTTCTAACCTAAAATGTTTGATAGAAAACAGTTCAAAAATATAAGTTTAGTGTAAATGCACAAATCAATATACCGTAATTTACGTTGGAACTATACTATACCGGACAACAAACACACCTCGCGTGCACAACTGTTTGCTTTCTGTACATTAAAAATGCCTACAATTTTAATTAACCGATTTTGAGAACGAAAAAACAATACCTGTACCGTTCAAACATGTCCGTA